GCTTTCAATAGATTTCACCTGCGGTACAACTTTCTGCGTGCTCGTGGTATTAGTGGTAGTAAAAATCATGCTGCTGCTGCTGCTGCTGCTGCTGGTAGCGATGATTGCCGTTGTAAGGACATTTTCGATGCTACTCATGGGATGTCTATCCACAGCAGGGCAATTCTTGGCTATTTCAAACAGTTTAAAACTTCAAATCACCAATTTTGTTCAAAGTTGGTAGACTTGTTATCTATACAGAGGTTAACATCTATGCAGAGTTTTAGATCAAAATATTGATAAGGGGCCGACTTATCAACTGTTCAAAAAATATTAGACTTTTTTTTATTAATTCGATTTCTCGGAGACTAATAAAGATATAGACATGATTCTTTTTTTAAAAGACGCGGAAAGAGTTTCACTTTTAAAATGTAAATAATAAAATACCAAATTATTTATTTATACCATTGTTATAAACAATTTTTTCAAAAAATCGACGATATCTCAAAAAACGATATTTTTTTTTTGAATTTTTGTACTATCGTATTCTTTGTCATTTTTTACATAAGAAACCGTTGAGAAAATCGAGTGCTCGCTATTAGGATTAAGATAGCACTAAAATAAAAAGAAACGCGTGCTAGCCGCTCGGCCGTCTGCTACTCGTGCGATTCCAACGTTGCTTGCTGCAATTGCCTTCTTTAAAGAATAAATAATTTCATATTCTAACAGTTTATATGTATTTATTTAAATAATATATAAATTAATTAATTAAATAAGTGTTTACACATCTTTTTTTGGCTGCTTTTACGGCTGTTGTTTCGGTCGCAGCCCTTGCAGCCTTTTCGGCTGCAGACTTTGCGGCCCTCGCCGTCTTCTCGGCTGCAGCTTTAGCAGCCCTTTCAGACCTTTCAGCTATATATTTTGTGGACTTTGCTGTTCTTTCAGCCGCGGCCCTTTCGAGCGCAGCAGCCCTCTCGTTTGCGGCCCTTTCAAGGTCAGCGGCCCTCTCGCTTACGGCCCTTTCAAGTACAGCAGCCTTATCGCTTACGGCTCTTTCGGCCGCTGCTTTTTCGACCGCAACTCTTTCGGCCACAGCTCTTTCGGCCGCAGCTCTTTCTATTCTCTCAACATCGCTCTGTAAATTAGAACAAAAATATATATATATATATATACTTATTTAAATATACTTATTTAAATATAATTATTTATATATATATATACATACCTTTATAACTACTTCTAATATATGTTAAATATGTCGCCTATGCGACGGATCCGTCACGATTATATTTAGCTGAAAAGAAAAAATAAAATGATTAAAAATAAATATATTTTATGTTATATAAAAAAATGCTTACCACTTTTAAAATAGCAATCAATAAATAATAAAATATGCTAGTCGGTAAACTAGCTAGCAGGATCGGTGGAGTCTAAAAAAATAAAAAATTTATTATAAAAACTATCTTGAATAATTAATAGAATATATACATAAAATACTTACATTAACCATGAAAATAATCATGGCATTTATTGTACTAATTATTTGTGTACTATCCATTTCTTTAAATTTTTTTTATACAAAACAATGAACAGTTACTAAAAAATACTAAATGCTTCGTTGATGTATTCTTCTTGAGCACTACCTAACGATTGACTCCGGAAAACATTTTCGGAAAAATCAGGATGATTCCTACTCTCCAAAAGAAACTCTAGTCAAATTGATAAAAATCTTTAAAGGAAGAAGAACATTGATTTCGCTTTAGACGCTCAGCATGTGGGGGATGTTAACGCAACTAAACAAGGCTAACTTAAAAACCTTATCTCTAAGGCAAAAAGCAATAAAATGACTAAGAGACGATTCGTCATTAAGATTACTCTATCTCCAGTCACCTGCTGCGTAATACGTACTTTCGAACGCATCTTCATTGAAAAAGGAACATCGAATGCGTTTTAATCCTCAGCATGAGGTAAAGCGTTATTGAAGAGAGTGCAAGGTGGTGTGAGTAGTCGAAAGTTTCCTAAAATTAAATGTGACCCTGAAAAAGGATAGTGCACGCTGCTAGAACGCATCTTCATTTAAAAAGGAACATCGATTGTGCTTCAGACTCTTAGCAACGACTTCTACAGCAACCTACCTTAACAATCTCTGTAGGTGGGTGGGTGGAAGAATGGATGAATGGGTGGGGGGGGGGGGGGGGGGCACTCTGTCGAAGGGCCCACTGACTTCTGTCTCAGGACATACACATATATCTTATGCATTGGCGGCGCATCTTCAATGCATAAGCTACATCGATTACCTTTTAAGTACTCAGCGGGAGATGTCAAAGGTACATCAAATACCTTTTAGACACTCGGCATGGGGTTTCCCTCTGTCGAAGGGGCCCACTGGCACGCGAGAGGTGTCAAAGGTACATCAAATGCCTTTTAGACACTCAGCATGGGGTCTCACCTTATCGCGATTAAAAGGTGTTGCGGTAGTGTGATACCGCGACACCTTCATCGGGTGGTCTCTTTGTGTCCCAGGACATACACATATCCCTTATACATTAACGGCATCCTTTGTCGTCTTCTTTGTGTCCCAGAACATACATTGCTTTTCTACTTTGCAGAAGTCAATTGTACCATCTAAATACCCTTAATGTGCCTTTAACAAATTTTCTCATGCTCCACTACGCTGTACGCTTAGTTTTATTTCATTAGTCAACTAAATTTTTATCTCTACTCTATCACCTCATTTGATGAGGGCGGTAATTAATTCGAAATTGGTTTAGTAATAATTGACGTTAGTGGCACCTTTGAAGTCTAATTTAAATATCGCATGTTCAATTAGTACAATCGGTGTCATTCATTACAAGTAACTCATCTCAATTAGCTGTCATACGCATTTAACGGTAGAATTTGTTTGTATTTCAATTACATGATAGTCCTCATTGTCAGTATTTCTCTTTAACCACTCTATCTCTATCAGCTAACTGCCTTCCTTATAATTATATAGTAAGCATGTGGCAGTCAAAGTAGCCACCATCGCGAATACATGCGCATCTCGTGCGTCGATGCCGTTTTATTTCCGATCAGATGATTTCCGGCTGCTCTGGATAGTCGTCTACATCCAGCTGCTGGTACTCGATCGCCCCCAAGAGGATAATTGGGAACGCCCGTTTACATGTAAGGGTGCGACCAGGCCGCTATTCTGCCGAGTTTTCCACGGATTTCGGCGTTCGAACTGACACGTGGTCGGGTATGTGAGTGCGTGTGCATCGTGAAATGCACCGGTAATGCACAGCATCTTCAATTTAAAAGAAATATATTTTTTATGATCCAAAGCTATTTTTCATGAAATAAGTTTAGTGTATTGTATTTAATATATATGACAAAAGATTTCTTTTTTATATGCAATGTTCGTTGACGTTTCATTTTCTCGATCAGTTTTCTTCTCGATTGAGATTGTAATATTCTTTGCTATTTTATAATTTTTTTACTTTATAAGTTTGATAATATCTCTATCGTTTTATCCGATTTTTAATTTTTATTTTTATTATAATATTTTTGATTTCGTTCTTTCTTCTCAATTTTTGTTGTATTTTTTCAAAGACATTTTTTGTTATTATACAGTTGCATGCAAAATTATCCGACCAATCATAATTTTATAATTAACTGTAGTTGAAATAGTATAAAATAATAACTTTCATATACTGATATAAAGTACATTTATTATGCTACATTATTACATAGTTAGATAATTAAATATAACAATCAATTATTATTTATAACAAAAATGAAAATTTTTGATACTTCATAAATATCCGGCCAAACAGAAATTACTCAGTATATGTACAAAAAACTTACAGATAAATAAAAGGATTCACGTTGTTCATGAATATTTAGTAGCCATACCCTTTGCAGCTATCGCGGCAGCAAATCGGTGAGGCATCGAATCAATCAATTTTATAATTCGTTTTCGAGAGATATTTTACCACTGTTCTTGAACTTTTTCCCACTAATCAGCTTTATTTGTACAAGTTTCAGTCCCTATTCTTAATTTTCATTCTTGACATAAGTGTTTTATAGGATGAAAATCCGGAGATTAACTTGGCCACTCTAAAACTCGGACTTTTTTCTGAGTAAAAACTTGTTGAAGTAGCTGTGATGGATGTTTTGGTTCATTATCCTGCTGAAAAATCCATGCTCTTGGTATATTTTTCCATGCATAAGGCAGCATTACATCTAATATAATGACCCTATACTTGGTAGAGTCCATAATGCCGTTAATTTTGAAAATTGGACCAATGTATTTCCAAGAGAAAGCTTTCCATAGCATGATGTTTCCATTACCGTGTTTCACAGTTGGTGTTTGATATCGTGGATCATTTCTGGTATCTTTAGGTCGTCGAACGTATCTTCTCCCATCGTTTCCAGATAAATTGATTTTAGTTTTATTCAACAACACTTTTTTCCAGTTCTCAACAGTCCAGCTCCGATGTTTTGTAGCAAATTCCTACCTACACGTGAAACTATCAGTCAGAATAGTCACGCGAATCCTAACCTCAAAGTTTTACCCGCACGCGAAAAAAAAAAAATAAATAAATAAAATACGTGTTTGAGTTTCGTTATTACCGTGCTGAATTAAATCAGTTGTTGTGCTGCATTTTGTGTTGTTTAGTACTGTTTTCGATTAAGTGTATATTTTTGTGCTCTTGATTGTTGTTCCACTTAATTTGTTACTCTCGTGACGTTAGTGAGTTGACCAGTAGACTTGTTTTGTTTGTGACTTTTGTGAGTGACAGTTGACAGTCTTATTGTTTGGTGCGTCAGTTATGTCTGACAATAGATGTTTTTCGTGCCCGTCTAAGGGCCCTATCAACGTTAGTGATGCCGTGCAGTGTTCGGGTTGCCGATCACTCTATCACAGGAGTTGTGCGAGCAAGACAGCCAAACTTTCTAATGGGTCATTCAAAAAGTGTTGTGGAGGACTTGAGATACCTTCGAGAGCATCATTGTTGTCTTCAGTGTTGTCTCCGATCATGAGTGCCGCGCAAGCCGGATTAGTGTCTAATCCGTCTCCGCCTAAGCCCCTCAATGACTCGCATTGCGAATCATGGGACGATGTTGTGAAATATTTCGATTCGAAATTGAACAGCATCGTCTCATTGATTTCTGGAAGGTGTGATGAGCTGCAGCGCGTGACGGATGGTCTTGTCGCGCGCTCTGATGCCATGGATGCCAGGATGGGCGTCATCCAGCATGAGCTTTCGGTGGTCACTGGCTCCATTACCTCACAATTTCAGGCGGTCAACCATTCTATCTCGGAGCAGGCCACTCGAGTTGACGACCACGAGGTTAGGCTGGCAAAGGTGGAAAGTTGTGTCGGCGAGTCCTTCACAAAGATTGATGCGGTTACTCTCGCGGAGATGAACGAGCAGCGGAGAAGGGAATGTAATTGTATTATATACAATTTCCCTGAACATGTCTCGTCGGCCGAGGACACAGCGGCAGTGGCGGCGCTACTTGTGGGGGCGAGTATCGATGCTTCATTGCTCACCACTTTGCAACTTGGAAAGAGGGCTGAGGACAGGACTCGTCCATTGAAACTCATTCTTCGATCTGCTGTTGAGGCGCGGTGGTTCTTGCGTCACTCACCGGATTTGCTTAAATCGGTGCCGAACGCGAAGTGTGGCCCGGACCGATCCACTTTTCAGCGGCGGTTGTTGCGTGAGACCATTGCCGACATCAATTCTAGAATGCAGGCCGGTGAGAAGGATCTCAAAATTAAATTTTTCAATGGCGTACCCTCCATCACCTCAACAAAAAACACATAAGTGCAGCCGAGATACCCAATCTTCTTTCTATTTACTACCAGAACGTTGGTAGCATTAAATCATCCATCACTACTTTTATTAATAATGTATTAACATGTGCGCAAAAGTTTAATATAATTGCCCTCACTGAATCCTGGTTGGATGACACGGTGGATGATGCTATGCTGAGGATTCCTGGCTACTCGCTCGTGAGATTGGATCGCTGGAAGGTTCGGAGTGGCAGATCAAGGGGAGGTGGTATCCTCGTTTGGATTGAGAGCACATGCTCCTTTGTAACAGTACATACCCTCAATTATGATTTGGAGCATGTGACTCTGAAGCTTGACTATGGAGCACCGCTACTTCTCTCCGTTGCTTATCTGCCGCCAGTTACGTCTCTCTCACCGGTGATATTCGAGTCATCTTTGGATTCCTTTTGCTGTTCTCTGGAGGATTCAGCTGCCGGATATCCTGAGTGTGCCGTTCTCATTGTGGGTGACTTCAACCTTCCCCGCTGCACGTGGTCGGCTTATGATGGTGTGCTTTCATCTGACGCACTAGCAAGTAGGACTATTTGTGATTCGGCATCTAGATTGGAGAGTTGTACGAGCTCCCTTAAGTGCGCTCAGTTGATTCGTTCAACAAATTGCTCTGGAAACACGCTTGATCTGGCATTTTGTAGTATTCCGGCGTCTCTCAGCACGGCTTTGGATCCTCTGGCACCATCGGACAGACATCACGAACCTGTCATTATTAATTTGAACTGTGTTGCAGTGGCTTCACCAAGCTCTCTACCATTTAATACTTCTGCTTCCTTCAACTTTAAAAAGGCAAATTATAGCAGTATTAATGCTGCTCTGACGTCGACAAATTGGAATGATCTCCTTGGTGAGTGGGACGTTGACATGGCGCTTGATTGTTTTTACCGGAAATTATTCGAAATTATTAGCTGCAACGTTCCACTTACTGGCTCTTTCACTGCTAGATTCCCGAGTTGGATGACAGACGAACTGAGAGCTGCGATTTCTCAGAAGAAGATGGCCCACCGGATATTTAAGGCTTCGGGAGATGGTCAGGCATTGCATGACTTCAGGAGCTTCCGGATAATTTGCAAGCGTCTGACGTTGCGCGACTACAGTCGATTTATTAGTGATGTTGAGGAGTCATTGGAGTCTGATCCTGGAGAGTTCTGGAGGTTTGCTAACCCTAGGGATTGTTGCTCTGGCTATCCTGATAGTATGTATTATAATAGTATCGATGCCCATGATGGCCCGGATATTGTCAACTTGTTTGCGGAACGATTTTCTTCGGTTTTTTCTTCAACTTCACTACTTAATGGTTTCGAGGGGCTAACGTTTGATTCTAATACGCTGTCGGACATTTCTCTTGATATTGAAGAGGTAACTCAGGGCCTTGCTGGACTGAAACCGTCATCTGCGGCCGGACCCGATGGAATCCCGTCAACTTTTTTTGTAAATTGTACCAATTGTTTAGCTCGACCGATTATGTATATTATGAATTTATCTTTACGATCTGGTACCTTTCCTACTGCTTGGAAACAAGCTTTTATCATTCCGGTGTATAAGAGGCGTGGTGACAGGAGAAATGTTTGTAATTATCGTCCAATTGCCAAGCTCAGCGTGCTTTCTAAGCTGTGTGATCATCTGGTATCCATACGACTTTCTCGTTTCCTTCTTCGTGTCATTAATGTCTCCCAGCATGATTTTGTTCCGCGCCGTTGAACGGTTACTAATCTTGCGGAGTTCGTTGAATTTCTTACGGACGCATTCGATGACGATCGGCAGGTTGATACGATTTACACTAATCTTACCAGTGCGTTTGATTGTGTTAATCATCAACTTCTGGCTGCTAAGTTGTCGTTCTATGGATTCATGGCCCTCTTCTATCCTGGTGCTCTTCATACCTATCACATAGAACCTACTCCGTTAAGCTCCTGAAATTCATCTCCTCATCTTATCTGGCTACCTCTGGGGTACCGCAGGGCTCGCACCTTGGTCCACTATTTTTCATTACCTTTGTAAATGATGCATTTTCCGTTATTCGTTCTTCCTGAATCTCTTTCTATGCTGACGACGCTATAATTTTTAAAGTTATTACATCTAGGAATGATGCCGATGAGTTACAGCTGGATCTGCTGAGGTTTTCTGATTGGTGCTCAGTTAATGGGCTCTTGGTAAATACTGATAAATGTGCAGTCCTTTCATTTTCTCGATGTAAAGCGTCTTATATATTCGACTATTTTTGTATGGATCTTGCAATTTGTAGGGTGACGGAGTTTAAAGTCTGGGAGTATTGTTCGATCGGAGTTTATCGTTCACCGCTCACATTAATCAGTCCTGCTGTACGGCATCCAGGTCACTTTTTCTACTGTTTAGGCAATGTCGTGCCTTTAAGCGACCAGCCTCCCTCATTGCACTTTATAATGGTAATATTCGCTCTCGTCTCACGTATGCGTCAGTTATTTGGGCTCCACGTTTTGACCAGCAATCTAAGTTACTCGAGACTGTTCAGCATCGTTTTCTGCGTTTTTTAGCTAATAAATTTGGCCCATGTATGGATCCCTTCTCTCATGACTACTCTGCCATTGCAAACTCATTTCATATTAGTACCGTCACTTCCTTCATTAATTACCAGTCTGCATTTTTCATTTATAAATTATGTCATAATTTCATCGATTCGATTTCACTCTCTAACCATATCCTCTATATTGTCCCAGCACGCACTCTTCGTGCCCGTAATCATACCTTTTTCATCCGTTCACGTAGGTGGAATCTTAACCATTTATCAATTATTGATCGATCTTGCCTCATTATTAATAATTTGTCAACTCCGCTGGATGTTCACTCAGTTTGCCTGGGCGCTTTTAAACGGCTTGTTCGTGCGAATGCTGCGGTGTTTCGCTAGTGTCTTATTTTTCTTTTCTTCTGTCACGTGACACCTCACCTATTTCTTCCCATTTACCCACCTATCTTGGCTGCTTCTCCCTTTCTACATGTTAATTTTTGTTATTATTATTTTTTTTATTATTCTTTTTTATTATTCTTTTATTATTTTTTTATATTAGTTATTATTTATTAGTTATTAGTTATTATTCTTTTTTATATTTTGTTTTTCTCTTTTTCTTTTCCTTTATTGTGTTACTTTTTTATTTTTTATTTTACTATTTTTCTATTGTGTTGTTTTGTCGACTTTTGGATATTGTTTATAGCTATTCCGTTTATTTTTTTTTCTTCTCACTATTGTCGTTTTATTAATTATTTATACTTCTTTTTGTTTATATTATATATTTTATTATTATATTTATATGTATCTTGATATGGGTTTATGCCCGTTTAATAAATTAAAAAAAAAAAAAAAAAAAAAAAAATTCTAGTCGGGCTTTATTATTTTTCTTACTGATTAATGGTTTTTTTAACATCAACGCGTCCAAAAAGTCCTATTTCGTTTAGTCTTCGAGATACGATAATTATATTAGTAATCTTGATCTTAGGAGTCGTCCCTATAAATAAACTAAACACTTATTTTATTATAAACGTTTCGCAATTTTATTTATTGCCACCTCAGTACATCTGTTGAATATATATATTATTATAAATAAATGAATTCTTTCAATATTAATATTGTATTATAATATAAACATACGTTTTGTAATGTAGATAAAATTGAATAAATTAAGAGTTCTTCCGCACATACATGGTCTGTTATAAACATTACACTTTTAAATAAATAATTATTAATTTTTCTGTCGAATAATAAATATAAAAATAGAATAACAATCTTTTGTCAGTTAGGTAAAAATATAGTTTGTCAATTGGGTAAAAACACATCATGATCAGCAAATTAAAAGCTAAGTAACTGTTATGTATATAATGACATATCGTACTGTATATGAAATAAAAGAGAAAGACAGCGAGAGACACAACAAGAGAAAAAGTGTACTTGACGAGTGGGGGAAACACTGGAAGGAAAGGGAATTAGTGATGTATTGTAATAACTATGTTTATTTTTCGTACTGAAACTAAGTAGATTTTATGATGTTGAGTATTCTTGAGTATTGATTGTTTAAATATTTTGTGTCTTCCTGTGAATTGATGGTATTATTCGTAATTTTAATATACACCGACTCTGCGATGCATCTCTTTCTGTAATCAGCTTCTAAATGCATGATTTTTGCATTCTCCCAATCAAATTCATGTTCTGGATTATTCACGATATGGGCCGGTATAGGTAAAAGTTTAAATCTAGAGTTGACTGGATCTTCAACAGTTTTTTTCACGGAATATTTATGTTCACTAATTCTATTTTTGAGAGCTCTTTTGCTTTCACCGATGTAATTCGATGGACATTGTTTACACTGAATATTATAAATTGTGCCTGTTTTTTCCCATTTCTTTAATTTATCTTTGCCTAGACCAATAATATTAGATAGCTTGCTTGTCATTTTTGGTACACATACAATGTTACTCTTCTTTAATGATGATTTGCATTTATAGAAAAATTCTTCTTTAAATGGAATTGGAAAGTAAATTGTCGGTTTATCGTTATTGTTTTTATTACGTGTATTGTTATGACTATATGTATATTTTCTAATGCGATCTCTGATGCACACATCAACAAATTCCTCCGGATAGTCATTGTTATATAACATGTTTCTTATAATAGATATATTATTGTCATGGTGACTTTCATCAGACAACAATATCGATCTATCTATCAAGTTATTAACAATATTCTTTTTTTGTTTTAGTGTGTGATTTGAGTTGTAATTTAAAATACGTCCCGACATAGTTGGTTTTTGGTACCAGTTAGTAATAATCCCATTATTTTTTCTAGTAATTGATAAGTCTAGAAAATTAATAGAACCATTAACCTCTGTCTCATAAGTAAATTTCAAATGTGAATTATAATCATTAAATACTTCGAAAACACGATCAAAGTCAATGTTTCTGATGCACATTAATGTGTCATCCACATATCGGTAATAAAAAATTGGATTAATATTATATTCTTCTTTCAGAAAAACCAAGCATTGTGTCTCCAAATCATCCATGACTAGGTCTGCAAATAATGCTGATAGTGGGTCTCCCATCGAAGTTCCAAATATCTGCTTATAATTTGTATTATTGAAACAAAAATATGCATTGTTGAAAAGAAAATTGATAGTTGTTATGATTTCGTCAAACATCATCAACGATTTTCTATGTAATTTTTGGAACCTCTTGTATATGCTATTAAGAATTAAATATCTAGGTATACTTGTAAATAATGAAACTACGTCGAAAGACACCAATATGTGGTCCGATGGGATGTGAATGTTTTTGATACGTTCTTTCAATTCATAACTATTTTTAATGTGTGATCTAGGCAAGTCTATGGATTCTTTAAGAACTTTACTAATTAATTTTGATAGGAAATGCATGGGAGTGTTAACTGTAGATACTACGGGCCTGAGTGGAAAACCATTTTTGTGGATTTTTGGAAGTCCATATGCTCTAGCTAGATTTGTATGTGATTGCGTTAGAAAAAATTGGTTAATATGTATGTTTGGAAAATATTTTTTAATATAGCCTTTGTCATTAAAATTTGTAAGAAAATATTGGACATCTTTTTGCATTTTGGTTAATGTATTATTTTTTTCCCAGATTATGTATGTACTATTGTCTGACATCATCAAATTCATTTTTTCAATGTATTCGTTCTTGTATAAGCATACCGTTATGTTGCCTTTGTCAGCTCTAGTGAAAAAAAGGTTGTTATTATTTTTTAAAAAAATATTAGTGGCTTTGAGCTTTTTTTTGAAGTCTTTATCAAATCTTTTTATATGTCTTTTGTTGTTAAGACTGGACTTTATATTATTAATCAAATTATTCCTTATATCATTAAAGGAGTTTTCCATGTCCTTATTATGTTTATCTTGTTTTCCACTCAGAATAAATTCTAAATTAGTAATACTGTCTATCATATCCGTTCTACTAAGATCATTATGTATGTTATGATTAGGGCCTAAAGATATTACCTCAATTACCTCATTCGGGATGTATGTGTCCGTAGTGTTTTTGACCCAATTTTCCTTATTATGATTATTTATCTGACGTTTATTCAATAATCTTTTTTCTTTTTCCAATAGTCTGTCATATCTAATACTCAATTTCCTATCCAATTTCCAATAAATTTTGTTTGCTTTATTTTCCGTAAATACTCTAAACATTTCTATGGTGTCAAGGTTTATATTAAAAGAATAGAGAAGGTTAGCAAGGACATTTAAACGTTTCTGGCAATATTTTATATGTATATGTAGATCTGAAATTTCAGTGTTGAGTAATTTTTTTTGAAAATACGACTTTAATTTAGTATATTTTCTATTGTTTGAATTACTATGAAAATTAAAAGTTCTATTAAAAATGTCCGTAATGTGAATAAGAGTAACGTCATTTTTTCTACAGTAAGTAAGGAAACGTAGCCTTGCTTTACAACGAGCCAAATCGTGTCTAAAGGTTGTCCATCTTCTCAAACAATTATGTTGTGCGTTTCCATATATTCTTAAAATGTATTTAAAAAAATTACCCATAATTCCCCAATGGAATCCGATCTTAATTTTCAATCACAGATCGTATGATATAAATTATTGTTAATTTTTTCCACTCCTGATGTTTGATAATTATATTAGTAATCTTGATCTTAGGAGTCATCCCTATAAATAAACTAAACATTTATTTTATTATAAACGTTTCGCAATTTTATTTATTGCCACCTCAGTACATCTGTTGAATATATATATTATTATAAATAAATGAATTCTTTCAATATTAATATTGTATTATAATATAAACATACGTTTTGTAATGTAGATAAAATTGAATAAATTAAGAGTTCTTCAGCACATACATGGTCTGTTATAAACATTACACTTTTAATTAAATAAATATTAATTTTTCTG